CTCCATTCCACTTCCAAGCACACAAGTTTCCCCAATTACATCCCAAGAGTGAACCATGGATGATTCTATTAAATTTGGTCTTTATATATAAAATAGTCACATCATACGCACATTTAAATTGCATCTAATTAACTCCAGTCCTCTGGAGAAAGAAGTTAAGCAGTGAGGGTGATCCCACTCACTGCACACCCAAGGAACACATGCTAAATTAAGTGTGAAAACAAGAGTTATGGTGTTTCTTCAGTCTCAAGTCTCATGGGCATCTAAAAAAAATGAGTGTGATCTTAATGTTCAAATATAGCATTTTCTTCACATAACATTGCTCCCATATGGAAGGCAAGCCCCTCATCAAAACTCAGGGGCAGAAACAATACTGTGTGCCCATCCTGGACATGAACCAGAAGATGGATCTGTTGAAAAGATGTGTGCCCATATCTAAAAATACATCTTCCTTATATATTTCCAAAGGTAATTCTGCTATATGTAACATTTGCCTTATAAACTGACTATGAGACTTAACCTCTGTGTAAACCATGATTTTTATCCTGAAGTCAAATGGAGCCAAGGTCTTTGAACCTTTTTTCTCTGACCCAGGGTAGCAGATGCTGTCTGTGACCTCCCATATGTGGTCTATATTCACTGTCCACTCCTGCCAGCAGCTGTTACCCTAACACAGGCTTGTGCATGGGGGATAGCCAGATGTACAGAGGAATTAATGAACTACAGAGGCACCTATAACAAGGACCTACAGGACTCAAGAGATGAGAGGCTAATTCTGGGGTGCATGCTTCACATGTCCCCACAGTTAGCTGCCAACTACAAAGAGGGGTGACTTGCTTGACCAAGCTGGATTTTATACACTGGCTTTGTCTAATGCCTTTTTCTTCTCCATGGAGTGTTTCCTGAGATCCACTGAGGAGCAAATTACCCTTGAGTCTTTGGCTCTGGATAATTACTTTTAGAGGAATCCCAACAGCAGAACACAGAACCACCATCTACGTCATGGAGCTAAAAAGAGCTATAATGAACATGAGTGTGGGGTGCAGTGTTCCCAGTGCCTGGGTCATATACCACATATGTGGGAGAACATGTGGGAGAACATGGTAATCTGACTTTACACAAAGTCAGACTTTGCATAACCTCTGTAAAGTCTCCCAGCCTGTTGCCTATAAACAACTTTATACATGGCAATGTCACAAAATGTAAGCTTAACTAAATGAAATCAGTTCTAATTTGATGCCTGGGGCCACACTCTCCTGGGAAGAGAAGGTCTGGACTATGGGAAGACATGTCTTTCTACAGGATCATAGCTGTATACTCTGTCTCTAGTACTCAGAAAAATAAAAAAAAAATTACATTTTAAGTTTGTTGGTCCATGGGCAGACTATAAATAGTGAATTAACCCCTGAACTTACTTAAGTCTGGGCATAGAGCCTCCCTTGAGGCTAAGAAACTTTAAATGTGATACAGAAACTCAGATTAACCCAATAGACAGAATAGCAAAATACTATATGAACAAAATTAATTACTGTTAATTTCTTGGTGAAAAAAATCTGTATCTCCATAAAGCTTCCGTCTCAGGAAGCTGTGCATGTAGTGATGTTTCCTGACATAAAGCTTGAGAGTGGATGACTAAGAAACATACAGGAGGCCATCACAGTTTCAGGGCAGACAGAATTCTAATGGGGGTCTATGGTGTTGCTGAATGTTGTTTAGAGATTGCATTTTTGCTGCAAAGGATACACTGACTAAGGACGTGTGGCACTTGAGGGTGCACCTCCTCTAAAGGTGTCATTTCTTGCACAGCTCCCCGTGGGATTTTGTAATACTCAGATGGGAAGACTGACTTAAAGTGGGGTAGTGTCAATGACTATTCACTGTGGTTATTAAGAAGGATTTCCAGAGCTGAACTTGCTGCTATCTGAATTCTGCTTCCTGTATTTAAGAAGCACTGCTGCCTGCCGCTGGGGGAGGGGTCTTCCTTCACTTCCTCCATGATGTGCAACAGTTGACACAGAGTGTTATTGGCAGCCTAAGGACCCCATATGACTGACTCTAGAATGTATTTCATTTCCCAACTATGACATCTGCGCTTCTAGTTTTTATCCCCTGACTGGGACTGAAAGCAGTTCACACAGTATTGCCTTAGGCTCAACTGTAAACCTCTAATCACTGTTTACCAGTTATTAAATATTCACCTGCTCTTTGTATTTTAAATAAATAATAACAATCAGGTAACTTGATTTATCTTTTTAGTACATAATCATTTCATGTCATTTTAAAATGATTCCATAGTGATCTGTGGTCATTACAGGTAGAGGTGTGATTGGTCTCATTCAAATGTAGAAAACAATCTCCACATGCTATAAAATGTAAAAGAATATACATAGAGAAAACCCAGAGCAGGCCTCTACTCTAACATTCACCGTGCAGGACTGTGTCTGTTCTTGAAACAGCCCTTTGGTGCTTATTACGGTGCTGTGTTTGAGAGTCAGGTCTCCTCGCTGCTGTCATAATGAGCTCTACAGAGAGACAATGGAGGGGAATAGAGGAGCAGAGGGAGAGAAGGGAGAGAAGCAGGAAGTTGAGGATGGGCTCCTTGTCGGAACCAACAACACAGAAGCAGCCTTAGCAAGATGGATATTTTACCATTTGTCGTTCTTTAAACAACATTCGAAGAACATGGCAAAAATGATATTTAAAGCCTAATTCATTTTCCTTATGATCCTAAGCAGAATCTTCAGGACTATAAAGGCACAACCACACCAAGTCACTACAGTCACCTGGACAGCTGTGTGGAAGTGGAGCACTTGTTCATTACTGTAAAGTAATGACAGGAGGTTTGCCAAGAAAATTAAGTTTTTTAAAATTGGTACCGAGTAAAAATGTATGCTTTTTGCTTTTGTGATGAATATATTTCATGTAAGATGTTCTGAATCCACTAGCCTCAAAAAAAAAAATTTTTGTTTTGTCACCACACACACACACACACACACACACACACACACACACACACACACACGTTAATGCACATATACCTAAATACACATGCACACACCACAGATACCTACACACACACACACAGAGAGAGAGAGAGGTTAATGCACATACACATAAATACACATGCACACACCACAGATACCTACACACACACACACAGAGAGAGAGAGAGGTTAATGCACATACACATAAATACACATGCACACACCACAGATACCTACACACACACACACAGAGAGAGAGAGAGGTTAATGCACATACACATAAATACACATGCACACACCACAGATACCTACACACACACACACAGAGAGAGAGAGAGGTTAATGCACATACACATAAATACACATGCACACACCACAGATACCTACACACACACACACACACACACACACACACACACACACATATGCTGGGAAGGGATAAATGAATGGGGGTGCGGATACAGAAACCCTGGATGTTAAGTAAAAAGTCTGAAAAAACAAATCAACCTGAGTTCATTCAGATGTGAAGTTGGTTTGTGTCTAAAGCCCGTCACACAAAGGGTAATGAGTGCCACACAGTCACCTCCCGTCTTTCCACCCACACTCTTCTTCCTGGGCATGCAAATGCTGAAGTGCTGATGTGTGCCAAAGGTATCCTTTTGAATGCTTCCTAGTTAATCAAACGAAAATATATATCTTAAGGTGCATTTTCTTCTGCCCACAGATGTGATAAATCCAGTCCACAGAAACCCAGGAAATACAAAATAATTTTTGTCACTAATCCTGGAACTATGAACTGGAAAAGCAGGTGGTTGTTGTCCCTGGAACCTCTCCACACTCCTGCTTCTGCCTGAGCGGCATCTCTCCTGTGATTTGGGGGAGTCCTGTGATGGGCTTGTTCTGGTACTCAGACCTGAAGCACCGTCATCTTCAGTCTCACACACAGTGATCACATATGGCAGATTAATGTCAGTGGGTCTTTGCAAAAGTGAGGTTCATCATCGGAATTTTCCTGCAGTCCTGAGTTATGACCTAATGTGATTCCCGGCAGTGCCCCAAAGAGATGAAAAAAGATGATTGGAAATATTGCATAGTGTCCATAAAAAGTCTCTTCTTTGCCATCATTCAGAGAAAAGCAAGGAGAAGATTGGCAGAGCCATCCTTTCTGGAAAGCAATGTGGCAGGTGACCACTGACACGCACCTAACAAAATGTGAAGTGGATCATGCTTGAATGTCATTTTTATCAGATTACTATGACTGTGTGTACACATAGCTCACGTCACTCCCTCACTTTGAATGGAGCCATTGCACACTGTGAAGAGTTTTGTGCATGAGGACAGATTGTAAATGGGGTTATGGTTATGGTTATGGTTTTGATTTCTATATGAACTATCTAATGTGCTTCTCTTTCAGGGCTAAAATCACACACATTATGGAGTCATACTACTGGTCTCATGATGAGGCCATAGTTGCAGGGTAGACCAGACATTCCTTTGGTTTTGTGCCCTGAAATTGGTATTTTTATTATTATTATTATTATTATTATTATTATTATTATTATTATTATTAATTCAAGTTAGGGAACAGGCTTGTTTCACATGTAATTCCCCTCCCACCTCCAGAGGCTCCCAGGAGTGCAGGGGCCTCCCCATTGGCATCCAGCCCCCTGGCTGGATTAGTCCCGTACTGGCCTCCCAAAGAGCGTCTGGGGTCGATATGCTTTCCCTTTTTCAGGCCAACTGTTTCTGTGGGTTTCTCCAACCTGGTACAGACCCCTTCGTTCTTCATTCCTCCCTCTCTTCAACTAGGTTCCAGATTTCAGCTCAGTGTATATCTGTGGATGTCTGTCTCTGCTTCCATCAGCCACTGGATGAGGACTCTAGGATAGCATAGAGAGTAGTCATCAATCTCATTCTAGGGGAAGGGCTTCTAGGCCATCCTCTCCTCCACTGCCCGGACTATCAGATCGAGTCATCCTTGTAGGTCTCTGGAGATCTCCCTGGTTCCAGATCTCTTCTCGGACCTATAGTGGCTCCCTCTGATATGGTATCTCTCATCCTGCTCTGGGGGAAGAATAGAGGAGAGAAATTGGTGTTTTTATTGTTGATTTGTCTTTCCTTTAGACTAATCTGAATCCTACTCCCTGAGACAACCGTGATACAGATACTACTAGCACTTGATAAATATTGGGGCAGATTTATCCTCAAATTTAAGAAAAAGAAAAACAATGTAAATGTATACCTGTTGGTTTAACTCTGGATCCTATTTACTAATGCTTCCAGTAATGAAGCCTTGTTTCTGAGTTTGGCTCAAACAGTTCCTGGAAGAGTTTTCAAACAAGAAACAGCTCAGTGTATAAGAGCTATGAGGTGCTGAATAAACCAAATGCCTCAGGTCTACACCCCAGGAATACCATGGCTGCTGGAGCAAATGTCACTTGGGGTACTGTTACTGCTTCTCCTTGCTCAAGTATCCTTCTACCTAAGGTCCTTGGGTGCAAGGATAATTTTTAGTTCCTCCTGAAACCAACAATAGAATTTCTTCATGTCTTATCTTTTATGCCAAAATAAGGGACCATGGAAAGCTGGCTAGTGGCCCATACCCACTCCAGAGCCTCACACCAGCCACTCTGCCTCTTTGGTTCCCAGTGTCCATATGAGGGTGCTGTGTGGACACTACAGGTTTACATACCGTGACTCCCTAAAGGCTGGGCCTGTCAGACTCTCCAGTTAAGGAATACATTAGTCAATTTACACCAGGGGCAAGTCCTGATCTTCTTGCACGGCCATGGACTGAGACGTGTTCCAGGACAGCTGTGTTCTGTGTGCTGACCACCTGTAAAATACAGTCAGGTGTGAATTATACAAGTAACATCTCACCTGAGGTTGGCTAACCATCCACTTGCCTTCATTGGTGTGCATTGCCAGAAGTGATTTTAATCTGCTCCAAATGATCAAGAGTCTTAGTATCCAGGAGGAAAGGGTGACTTTTAAAAGTCCATTTTCCCAAAAACTTTGATTGAAATTGTATCCTAAAGAGATTTTTTTAAATCCTTCTGTGTTTCTTTCTGATGTGAGCAGATGCAACCTAAAATTACTCAAATATTTATATTTCTGTCAATGGCTTTAATCCATTTTGTCACCTAATTGTATAAAGCTATCTTCTACAAACTAGGATACTGGTATTTTGAAATAAATTGATTTTTTTTAATGGACACAGTTTAAAAGAAGCTACAGATGGGGTTTTATATACAGTTGTTTGCTTAGCGGATGGAATATTGAATCCTTCGCCCATTAAATGCATCCTCACCACAGATTCTCTGCACCTGCTATTTCATCTCTCAGTATGTTCCATGCTGAATATTGATGGTCCTTTGGAGATACTATGGCGTCAACTGAATGAGTAGCAGCAGCCCAATGCTGACATCTGCTGGACACATCGTTGTATGCATCAGACTCTACCCTCTAAACTGTAAATACTTAAGGAAGCACAAAGCAAAACAGAACTATGCTTTACTTAATATGCATTGCTTCTATTTGTCTGTAAATCCACCACTTATATCTATGCTAATGTCTAGAAGGTATGCACTGTGGGACACAGAGACCTAAGAGGAGATACAGAAACGGTGACGATCTCAACAGGCTGAGTTCAGAAATGATCTTGGCTGGTGATGAGTCATCTCTGGGCCACAAATCCAACTCTGCACAGACAACTCCTCTTATGATCTTTGGAAACTCAGCTCTGTTATAAATGTTCTTCACACAGTGAGGTCTCTCTGGTGTTTTCTTTGGATTCTACGGATCTATGGATTCTATTGTGAGTTATAGCTTTGGTTTGCCAAGGCAGATTGGCAGAACAATAATATTTGGGTTTGGATTATGGCCCAGATCCTCATGAATATCTCTAAGTGTAGGATAATTGATTTATTAATTACTTCATTCAACATACATGTTTTGTGTGAACTCACAATGAGACCCAGCTGCTAAAGTTTTTTTAATTTATTCTTTACATTCCAATCCCAATTCCCCCCTCCCTCCTTTCCTCTCACTCACCCCACTCTCCTGCCTTCCATCTGCTCCACAGAGAAGGTGATGCCTCCCCTAGGAAGTCTCCAAGTCTGTCCCATCATCTAGTTCAGGCAGGACCAAGGCACCTCTCCACACCCCTGTATCTAGGCTGGGCAAGGTATCTCTCCATATAGAATGGGCTCCACTAAGTCAGTCTGTGCATTAGTGTTAGGTCTTGGACCCACTGCCACTGCCCTTATATAATTCCCAGTCACACCATTGCCACCTATATTAAGGGAGTCTAGTTTGGTCTTCTGCAGGTTCCCCATTTGTCAGACCTGAGTCACTGATCTCTCAGTGGCTCAGGTCAGCTGATTCTGTGGGTTTCCCCATCACGGTCTTGACTCCTGTGTCCATATTTTCCCTCCTCCCTCCCTTCAATTGTACTCCAGGAGCTTGGCCCATTGGTTAGTTGTGGATTTCTGCATCTGCTTCCATCTGTTTCTGGAGGAGAGGCCTAGCTTCTCCGTGGTTGTGGATTGTATGCTGGGTATCTTTTGTTTTATGTCTGGTATCCTCTTATGAGTGCAACTGCTAATGTTTTGAATCCATGGCTCGATGCTGAGAAGGAATACCTCGCTGCCCAGCAGATCTGCAAAAGTTACTCACCTCACCAACTGAACCTCCACCTCCTTGCTTTCCATTGCCAGCCCAGCTCCTTCTACTTCTTGCTTCTTTCTTTGGCTGCTCTGAAACTTCACATGCAGGAAATGTTGCTGTATTCATCCTTCGGGGGTTGGCTTATTTCACTTACCATAATGTCTTCCAGATTCATCCACCATATTGAGTATGGCAGGATTACCTTGTTTTGTTTTGTAACTGTGTGTCCCGGGAAGATGAAATATTTACATACAAAGAACGAAATTTAATACTGTGTTGATGTCTCACACAACAGCATATTAAAATTCTAGAAATAAGAATGGAAATCATGAAATTCCTCAGAAAAAAATGCAAGTGAAGGGCTTCATGCATGGGGCTGACAAACACTGCTGAGATGCGGACAGACTGACTTCAAATCCAAAGGCCTCAGCACAGTGAAGGAAACAACCAGGCACAGCAGGGGACACAGAAGGGGTGGAAACATTGAAAATCACATATATGATCAGGGATCGGTAGCTAAGCTATATGCGGAATGCCTACAACTCAAAAGCAAAATAATAGCAAAGCCCCAATAAAAACATGAGCAAAGGGCTTGAATCTTCTCTGAAGACAGTATGCGAATGGCTACAGGGACAGGTGCTCAGCATCGACGGTTATCGAGGGAATGGAAACCAAAGCCACAGCAGGATGCCACCTCATGCCTGTTAGGATGGCTATCATCAAAGCCTGAGAGTTGGTGAGGACAACAGCAAAAAAAGACATCTGTACACTGGTGGTGTAGATATAAATGGTGCATCCACCAGGAAAACAGTTTTAAATTCCAGAACAATAAGTTAAAATTACATGAAATCAAAAACCATAATATATATAACGTATCTGTAAGTTTAATAAAATAATAAAAAAACATTCCCAGACAAGTCATTGTGTGTGTGGTGCCCCAGCATCTGCCTGTGTTTCCTGTGCTTTTTCTTCTGCTCTTTTTTCTCTTTTCATTTGTTTGCTGCTGTTATGAATTTGTCTTGTTTTATTTGATCTTGTTTTCTTTCTTTTCTAAAAGCCTGTTTGTATTCTAATGGAAGAGAAGAAGAAGGGGTGTGGACTTGGGTGGGTGGGTAACATCTGAAAGGAATTGAGAGAAGAGAAACTGTAATCAGATGTTGTGTGAAAAATCTACTTTCAAAACACCCACATAATCCATAAATCATATTTCAAAGTAATGGAAACCAGCACCTTTCCCATTTATCTGTGTGTTGGGGGTGTACATGGAACATTTGGAGGTTTGAGAATGGCTTTGAGGAACTGACTTTTCTTCTTCTACCATGTGGATTCCAGGGGCTGAACTCAGCAGCAAGTGTCTTTATGCAGTGAGCCAACTCTCTAGCCCTGAAATTAGGAGATATTCCTGTGTACATTGCAGTATTAGTTACAATGGTCAAGATAAAGGAGTGTGAGATATGCCTACAGTGTAAACTATTTAAGGCTCTTCTCTGCCACAAACCACTGATGCCCTGATTCTACCCTTAAAAAAAATCTGTATAAACTTGGAAAGTTCATACTGGACAAACTTTAAAATTAAACTTTATAGACAAAATTCATTGTTTCTAAAACTGGGTTGTTGTTTGTTGTTGTTGTTTCTAGAAACCACTCAATTAAGACACGTGCATTGAGACCCAGACACCCATGCAGAATTGAATGGAAGTGGAAAACTATGGAGCTATAGGTTCACTTTCTACTTCTGACCCTTTTTTATGTGTTTGTTTGTTCTGAAGCCACAGGATCACTAGATAGCAAAGCAACTTGTGAATTTAGCAACAGGTGACTCAGACGTGTCTCCTTTAAGCAGTGAGGTCCCCATTGTCTCTGCTGTTGTCTGTCAAGATGTTCTCCGATCCAGTCTCCAAACCAGCGTAGCTAAATATCCATGTATATCATCGTGGTTGGAAGGAAGAAGGTAGCTGAAATTGGACACCAATGTATTCTCTCTTCTTGAGCCGTATTGGCCTACATGAAAATGTTCCTTGCTTCTGGTTGTGTAAATCGCTCTGGAATCAGCTGCCTATGTTCATGGCTTGTGAAACTTGGGCTGTATCTCCAAATGGCTGGGAATCCTCCTGCTTAATTCCACTCCATGTCCCAGTTCCCACTCGTGCCGCATTCTCCTTGAAGTTTCTCTCCAAAGACACACATTCTATTTCTAGCTGCTTCTGTGCCATCTCTTCTGAATTCTTTCAGTTTGCCCCTTTTATGCCATTTGGAAACAAGACCGATGCCCCCTCTGCAACTTCTCCCTACACAGGCACACTACGCCAGCATTCTCTCAGCTAGTACGCACTTCCTAATGTATAGTAATTTATTCCTAGTTCTAAAAAAAAGTACATCTTGGAAGCTTGTTAAGACACGGGGTGTTCTTCTAAAGGGGGGAGAAATAGTCCATCACTCTGGGAAACTCCTTAAAACTCGGTTAGCAAACAACTCAAAAGCTCCAGGAAGTTCCTGAAACTGTCAAGATACACTAGACCCCTCCCTCTTGATGATTGTATTGATAGAAAGAACTCCTCAGAGACATTGGTAGACCAGCCAAGCTTCCAGGAAGAGACAGAGACCAGCTCAAGTGTGTACTAAGATATTCATCCACACACACCTGTAGCATTGACCTCACCCCTTTGAGCATGGTCACAAGTCTGGATATGACCAGTGATAAGGATTAAGATTGGGGCTTGGAGTTCTCTCTAGCTTCCTGCTCGAGTCTTGAAGAGCATCCGGGTGGCAGGGTGGGCATCTTTGGAGTGGAAACATGTGGCAATCGTCTATTTGTTGTGTAAGTGCATTCTCCCCACTTAACCTGTACTGACTCTAGTGAATCTTGAGTTCCCACGAAATACAAGTGTCTGGAGAAGGCATTATCCAGCCTGTTGAGCTGCCTGAAAGATTACAGTGAGCTCCAGGGTTCCAGCATTCATAACCAGTCATCCCATGCTGGGGTGGAATTTTGCTGTTGCATCTTTCTTTGAGTCATTCCCACTCCTGGAAGTAACCCCTTGTCTTAAGAGTTTTCTATTGTTGTGGAATAAAACATCATCACCAAAGTCAACCAGGGATGAAAGGATCTATTTCATCTTACAGCTTATAAATTCACTGCTGATGGAAACCAGGGTAGGAACTTGTGACAGGAATAGAAGGAAAAGGCATGGAGGAGTGCTGCTTTCTGGCTTGATCCCCAGAGCTTTCTCAGTCTGCTTTCTTTTACAGCCCAGACCACCAGTCCAAGGTTAATGCCACCCATGACGGGCTGGGTCCTCCTCCTTCAATCATCGATTAAGAAAATGTTCCAAAGCCTTCCAGACAGACAAATATAGTGGGGGCGTTTTCTTTATTGATGACTCTAGCCTTGTCAAGATGACATAAAAGGGAGCCAACACACCCCTCACCCATACTCCTGTAAGTAACCCAAACAAACTCATCAGTAGCAACTTAGACTTGAGATGTCCTTACACAAGCAGAGAATACAGGCCTTCACACCTCCCAAGAGATAATGTGGCATAGCAGTCACACACCAAGGATGGTGTGGGGCCGAGTCGTCCACAGCTCCTCTTATGTCAATACCATCCATAGACCCTATATTCTATACTTACTTATCTGTCCCCTCTTTTGAGAATGGCCTGAATCAGGCAGTTGTGTCACATGGAGAGAAATCGGTAACAGCTTATCTTTGTCTCCCTTCTCCCATCTATCCCATTCCTCTAAAAATTAGAAGATATTGTTTTCCATTTCCTGAACAGCAAAGGCATCACTGTATTACAAGAGTTTTCCTGGTCTTCTTCGTGGGTTTTAAAATTGAAATTGTGAAGCTGGAACCAGGGAGGAAAAAACCACAAAGACGGGATTTCAAGTAATAAGCAGTATTTATGGAAGGGAAGAACTTGTCTCCTAAACATGGAGATGATTACTTAAATTTTAATCGGCCAACGAATCTTTTCTCTACACAGTCCAGCAAAAACGTAGTGCAACTTTAAAATCAATGAGCTGCAGGATGAACATCCTACCTTGCATTGAATCTCCTCAGAAAGGTCTAGGTATGAATATATCAATACTTTGTGTAGAAGATCACTTTTATTGAGGTCCCATCTTTGCCCAGAACTTAATTTTTTCATACCCATACTCAAACTTGTCTCTCCCCATATAAAAAATGTGAAATTGTTCAAAGGCCCTACATGTCTAATCTGACACATTCTCATGCAGCCAATAGACCAAGAAAACAACTAATTTCAGGTCTTACCTCTCAGTGTAACTGGGGTTGCTAATACCTGACTGTCACATTAGGACTGGGTTGAAAGCTGAACGGACCAACTTATAAGAGTGGCACACACATTCTTGTGAGTGAGCAGAGGAGAGGCACCATTCCGAGCTGTCAGTCTCTTCTCAATTACTTGTGCCTATGGTCATCTTATTGTCACTGTTTGAGATCAACACAGTCCCTGCTGAGGACAGCTGGAAGAGGTCAGAGTGAGCATGACACCAGCACAGGACCCTCAGTGGCTCATGACTGTGCCCCTGAGTCTCAATGCTCATCAAGAGACAAAAGTTGACATTACACTGAACCCCTTCAAGCACTCAAAAAACCTTCATGCTCTGACCTACACAAGCATTGGAAATGAAAATGTAAGAATAATGTAACATACTCTTTCCCAGTGTATTATTAACCACACTCATTTTCCTGCCATTAGAATTTTGTTCTTTCAAGACGGAAAGCATTTGTTCAGATGTTTAAACCACTTTAAAAAAAAAATGTGAGGTGAATTAGATAAGAAATTGTGATACAGTCATTCAATGAAACACTGTGAAACAACAAAAATGATCAGTTTGAAATCACATGGAATAATATGGATGAAATACCAAAAATACTAGATAAGAAACCATGACACAAACAGCATATGCTCTAAGGTTCAATAGAGAAAGAACAACAGTCAGGAATGACTCTGTAGTATAAGCTGGTGGTCTTGGGAGGAGAGCAGAGACTCGTAGTGTGGGGTGTCCTTCTGTATGCTGCAAATACACATTGTTTTTATTGGCTGTGAATAAAGCTGTTTCAGCCAATGGCTGGGGAAAAATATAGGTAGGCGGGAAATCCAAAGAGGAAGAGAGAAGGAAGGCAGGGTCAGAGAGACACCATTTAGTCGCCACTGAGGGAAGCAATATGTGAGATAATAAGCCATGAGCTTCTTGGTAAAATACAGAATGTTAGAAATGGGTTAACTTGTAGGTAGAGCTAGCCAGTAAGAAGCCTGAGCCATTGGCCAAACAATTATAATTTTAATATTAGCCTCTGAGTAATTATTTCATAAGTGGCAGCAGGACCCAGCGGGCAGGAGAGAAACTGGTCCAGCAGAATTGGGCAAGACAGAAAACATCAAACATGTTTTGTGTTTGAGGTAGGACTGCTTATATAGATTATTCCATTTGTGAAAATGCATCAGACTGTGTCTTTATGATATGTATACTTCATATATATATATATATATATATAATCAATAAACAGTACAAAAATAAAGCCAACATTATTACACTCGAATCTCCTGAGGATAAAATGGGATTAATTTTTACAAATCACCAGAGACCTTGTTTTCAGAGGAAACCTCCTCTGCCCTACCTGCTTTTGGAAGGCAAATGCTTCAGATATCTCCCTGTGAGGAACACTCAGTCTGCTGCTAAGCTTAGTGTAGTGCAGATGATGGAGACAAAGAGAGGTGGGGAACTCAGAGAAGAGAAATGCATCAGTGTCCTCATTTGTAAATCTCTCGAAACCAAATAGAAGAAAACACCTCGAAACAAAAATTAACTGTATATTCCACATCACTGTTCCAGTGGGGCATTTATAGTTACAGAGCACAGGCAGCAGGGGGCAAAT